TAGGTACAAATGTATATATAATTTATCTATAAACAGGTCCACATCGTATTTTAGAATTTTAAAATATCTTATATAAAAAATGATAATAAATATATTTCAATAAATATAACACAATTTTGGATTTATATTTCAGTATGTATTATTTTTATTATTATATGTACATATATACGTATATAAATTTCAAAAACAAAATTGATGTTTCATTGTATAATTAAATAAGAGGTAAGTAAAAATCATAATTTTGCAATTTTTCCAACGAAATATTTGAATTTATCTACTCTATACATAAAAGTGCAATAAATCATATTCTACTACAAACAACCCACTGTGCAATGAGCATACCGCTTATCACCCTTTAACTGGTTAAGATAGCTGGCGGCGCGCTCGACATTTTCTTGACACTGCTGCGCGCCTAGTCGTGCAATAGTGTTTGAAAGAAACAGGTTGATTTTGCCTTTGAGCGCACACGAGCGGCACGACGCCGCGCACACATGGCAACGTGTCGCACTGCCGGCCGCCATGTGCCGCGGCGTGTCACCGGCGTGTGCGCGCGACTACGRTGACAATGGCATTGTTACCATCACGTTCCGAAACGCTTGCATACGGCGTGCGTGTGTGCATGTGTGTAGGTGTCGCTGATGTCGACGACACGCGGATAAAACAAGTCCGCTAACGCTGAACATAATAACAGGCAAACAGAAAGGCGAAGGCCGACGATATTGCCARCGGCTGGCAAGCACACACATATGTATGTATACGAAGTAGTGGAGAGAGAAATTCAAACACAAAATGGCTGTGTGTTTGTGCGCTGAACTGTTAGCACCGCCCACATGCCATTAGTGTGTACATTTGAGTGCAACAACAASKCAARCTACACAAGCAGGGTTGTGTCTCTCGACATTTTTTGCGCCGCTTGCTGTGTTATTTTGTTCGCCTGGTGCATAGTGTCATATTTCGCACAGAATTCGGACTTTTTGGTTGCGGCGGCAGTCCTCGTCGTCGTATGCGCTCGCTCATCATTGCGCCGCAGTTGTCTCCAAAAAGACAAGATGCATTCGCTTTGTCAGCGAACGGCGGATTTCGAAGCGCTCACAATACGGCGGCGGAGCGAACCCGCTCGCTTTTCAACCGCCGGCGGTTTGCCACCTACCTAGCGATTGCTCCTCAAGTCACGGTGTASTTCGCCGCCGCAACGACGTTCCAATGCAGCAGCGTTTTGTTTCACTGAATTGCCGGCGTGCGCCATTTCTTTGCCATTGCCCGTTCGAATTCTGTTTCAGCTCGCTTACCTACCGTCGCCGCAAGGTGTGTATTATGCAKCTATTGTATCCGCTGAACAGCACACACATGGCACGTGCGGTCGAGCGAAAAATAGTGGTGAGATGAGCATGTCCGTTATAGCAGATGGTTCTGCTGACGACGTCGACGACGGCAAATCGACCAATCGGCGAAGCCAAAAACCGCATTTGAGCCGTCGAGCACGTCTATTGTTCCACATGGTAACAGGCGACCAGCGTTCTCAGTAGGCGGCGCACAACATTTCTTTGTTCGATTGTTTCGTTTGGAATTGCTGGGAATTCTCGTTCAGCCAATGGTCGTGCTTTGGTTGACACACACACACACGAAAGTTGGCATGCGAGTGTGTGTTGCATTAAACGCATTGTGCCAACAGTAGGGGCGAAGAAATTTGTATGGCATAATATTTGCTTTGACCGCACTGMAAGCCTGGCGATGGGGCCTCGACGTCGTCATTCAGAACTAGCACCGCTCAACTTGAAAATATATTTTTTGCTAGAAAATATTATATTGAACGTTTTACAATATAAATTAATTTCTTAGACATGCTACTTTAAGACACTCTCCTACACTTTGTTAATACTCCTACATTCGGTTAGTCAAAGTCAGTCTACGACATTTTGATCGCTTAACAGTTAGTTTTCACACGTACTATATTTACTTTTTATTTAATTTTCTTTTCAATAGAAATATTAAGAATGCTACAAATCTTATCATGATCGTTTTTGATAAAATGGTTTGTTTATGTTGCGACTGTCAGAATTGTGTAGTGTGTGTGTAAAGCAACAATGCAATAGTGCATTTGGAAAGAAATTAAAATAGATTAGTCCAAATAGTTATTAGTTTTTGTTACATATAAATGTAAGTACGCTAAATATCAAGGAAAAAATAAAATAACTTAAATTAATGAAAATTAGAAAACAGATAATTTAAATAACAATTCAATATTGCTATATATGTATGTTTGCATGGAGCATTGAAACTGCATAATCATATATATCTTTTTGCGAAAATTGTGTGTTGTTAGCTCCATTTCTTAAATTTACGTACACGTTTTACTTTTTTTTTTAACTTTTGGTAACACTCCGCGTGTAAATAACGTAGTTTTTGCATATTCAATGCAAATTAAAAACAAAACTTCTTTGTTATACATATTAAACTATGAAATYCGATCAAATGTTGACCGTTGATTGTTTATATGGTGTGTTGCTGTTGTTTGTTGTATAAAATATTGCTATGAATATTACGCTTCCAAGTCGTTGACAAAGAGTACTTCACGATGCTTCAGACCGGCTTCAGCTAAGGTTGTTTGATTGCCATTATCATTGATAGCGCCATTATTATAAGAACTGGCGTATAAAACGCGTTTAGGGAAATTCGTTGTGATCTCGAATTCATCGGGCGAAGAGGGATGACAGAACAAATAGTTATACACATCCTATTTGGAAATAAAAAAAATAAAAACAAAATTAGCTTTAATATAAAGAAAAACTTTAACAAACGATTTGCACTCACAATTAATGAATTGGAATTGAGAAAACGTCGCTCCAGGCGTGCGCCGTTTGGCAGTTTAAAGACGACACTAATGGCGTCCGCTGTACCAGCTGGTGGCTCATTTGGCACCTGCTCAGCTAGCTCAATTTTAAGTTGAGCAATTTCCTAAAATTTAAATAAACAACCATTAGTTATTGTATATAAATATAAAYGGCAGTTGATTTGAACTACTGACCTCCTTTTTGCGTGCCTCTTCGGCACGTTCACGTTCAATAGCCTCCTGTGCTTGACGCACTGCATCACGTTCCAACTGACGCAGCCGTTCCTTCTCCTCATCGGCACGTAAACTAAGTTGATAAGCTTCGTCTTGCTGTTGACGCAGCGTCTGTGTGAGATTACGTTCTAAACGATCAGAACGTGCTTGACTTAGCCATATTTCATTTGCTGAGATCACTGTTTGCATACGACGTATCAACTCCTCGGGTGTGCAATCGCCTTCAAAGCGACCAACAACAATCATACGATGATTGCGTTGTGCAATTAACACCATCGTCGGAAATACGTGCATATTTAATGTATGCGATACTCTATAACCCTCTGGTGAGGATACGTCACAGCCCCAGAAAAGCATATTGCGATTTATAAAATCAATTGTTGATTGATTCGATAGCGTTGTACGGCACAGTGAATCTACATCAGGATTATTTGTGGGATCCTTGTGTAGATAGATGAGTAGGAAGCGTAGTTCCTGTTTAGCATCATTTAACGCTTGCGCGTATGTGCCCTGATAGAACACTGGGTGTGATGGATAACGTTCATTGTAGGAACGTATAAAACTCATGACATCGCCCACAGGATCGGTAACGACTGAAAAATAAAAAAAATGTATTAATATTAATAAACAATAAAAAAAAACAAGAAATTTGCTATAAGCTGATACGTACTTCTCTCATCGTTTCGTCCCAAACTCAGTAAAGCAGTTAGTACGCTGGAGAATGTCGAGTAGCAATACTGAAATACCATGTTTATGACATAGCCAATGATACCCGTAAAGCTACGCGGTATAGGACCCATGCCACCTCGTGCCGATCTGCCACCTGGCATATTTGCAGAAAAAATCTGTTGTAGAAAACGATCGTCGAGAACAGCGGGTGCGCGTACATCTCTGGACGCGGCATATGTTGATGGAATGCCTTCGCGTATGTTCATTTGCTCTTGAAAAGCGACCTATAAAATACAAACGTTGTTAATAATTTAAAATAAATAAATAATTTATGTATATACCTCAAGATCCCACTGATGTCTGATCAAGACATCTCGACATATATTCATATCCTCAATGCCTGTAATGTCTTGAAACTGTAGGATCTTTTCGGTTTGTTCATTTGAAAGTCCATCCTCCATGACTGTGTGTCTTGCCTTTTTTGAGGTGTAATACAGTAAGGTAACAAATCAAAGGTGATAATTCGTAATTTGTTGTTCGTGTAATCGTATGGACGGTACAAAGAACGGAGGCCTTGCTGTCGTTGCTGCTTTAGGTAGTATGGAAAAGTCGTATTCCCTCGACAATATGTAATTTTGCAGTATTTGCATTCCCAAATTATTTGTGTTTTCCAGCCTTTTTTTGCACCCGTTTTTTGATTTTGAGCAAACGTTCTGGGGAWAATTACACGTTGTTTCCGTGTTTTGTTTTTCCAGAAAAACCTTTACAACCTTTGAATAATAAAACAAAACTGCTGTGACAGACTCGGATTACGATGAATTCTCCTTTTTATATGACTTTTCTTTCGTGACAGTTCAACGATGTTGCCAACGCTTTCCACAAGTATACAAGGCAGAGTTGCAAGTAAATATTTATTGTTAAAAAATTAATGCAATAATTTTTTTTAAAACAAGTTGTTGCTAAAACAAGAGTAATAAATATATAAAGAGGTAAAAATCGTTATTTAAAAAGTACTTTTTATAAACGAAAAAGTGTTGATTGTTTTATATATGATTGTATGGTGAATGTACTGAAAACTTTTCATATATTACCCGGGTTATTTAAAAAGCTAACTTAAACTATCTTAATTATCTAGAAAGAAACAGTTTTTTTAATAATAATCTTAATTATCTGGGAACAAATGACAATCTCATGCGTTTCCCCCATAAAAAAAAAACGTGACAAGACACTGTATTTGGGCTTTATATTTTTATTGGCAGCACTGACAATTTAGCTTCCACATTTTGATATTTCTGGGGTAAACCTTTATTTACGGATTGTAAACAAAAATTGTTTTACAAAAATTTTGTAAATATAAATAATTTTACACYATACTGCTCAAAATATTATTAAACAATAAAATTTAACTCATTGGCAGAAACCAGCGGTATTAAAATGTCTTACTTAGTGAATTTCAGTAATGACACTGCCAAGCAAATACTCATTGAAATCATACGCACAGTGAATCAGCCAGAGAACTCCAAAAAATTGTCAGAAGCTAAAGCTTCAGCTGGGAAAGAAATGTTGCTAATGATGCAACATGTCTTTCCACTGGTTATGCAATTGCAAACGGATGTAATTAAAACTTATGGTTTTCCAGGAAATCGTGAGGGACTTGTCCAGTTCTCGCAATTGGTGCGCGAAATGGAACGTGAGGATGTGGAAATCGCAAGATTGCGCAGCCAAATAAGAGCTATCTACTTGCCGCCCATAGCTATAAATACAACTAATGATATTTTGATATGAGCAAAGATTATTTCAAMAACAAGACTGAAACCAAAAAATGTATTAAGCGTTCAATTTACGCTCAATAACAAGCGTTAAGCACAATAATGCATTTACTTAAAGACACCCGCTTATATATATAAATTAAATAATATATAGAAGAGATATTAATATATGTAGTTTAAGTTGTGACAGGCTTTTATAATAAATTATTTGTGAAAAGCAGCTTAATAAATAAATCTTTACATAGTTATATTACAAAAAAAAAAAAAAAAAAAAAAAAATACGAATGTAACCATAATTAACACTCAGCGCTGAAACTATATGATGAGTTCGTTATCCGCTTAAGAGTGTAACAATTGTAATGCCGAATTGCAACAAGTAGTTTGGATTCTTTGCAATCATGATATTCATAAAAATTGAATTCTGATTTTATCATATTTTCGCAACAATGCCGTTATATGAGATCTTCAGTTCAATCTCCATGAGAATGCACTTAATATGGTCACCTGGATGCAGTGAAACGCAGATGAAAAATCTGCAAACTTGTCGGAACACTGCACTCCGGACTATAACAGGATGCATCTTGAYCTCCTATAGCTGCTCTGAGTTAAGGAACATAATGAGCTCCTCTCCAAGCAGTTTCTGCTGWGGTGCTTTCGCAGAAATCATCCCTGCGGTCAACTGCTGGGAGCGGAACCCCTCCTAGGAGAATCAAGAAGACTTTCCTCAACAACGCTGACGACATAAAATAATATGCCGACCTGATTTAGGACGCAACAAACTTCAGACATGTGCTGACCGCCAACACCTTCACCGACTCCCTCTTAGTGAATGGCGAGTTCGAAGTCRAATCACCACCCTTTGCAGACAAAGAGCTCGAGTTGCCGCGAGAAATGAGAGTGACCATTGCGCATCTTCGTTCTGGATTCTGTAGCAGGTTCAACTTCTATTTATACAGAATCGACCCTGRCATATCAAACATATGACACTAGCCACTTCTTTGCATGCCTCACCAATTCTACTATATAGCACATCTCTCCCTTTCGTCCGACCCCGTCGAAAGAGCACGTTTCTTGGGCCTACCGTTGGATGACGTCGACGACAATTTAGCTAATCCTTAMCATTCTAAGAGGCATTAGGTACCCGTTACAACAACAACACGTCCTTGCCATCCAAAGAGGTTATGAATATACATTGTAACAGACACCAGAAAAATTTAAATTATATTCTTTACGAACTTTGGTTAAATTGTCCGAATGAACTCAAACTCTTGATCTTTCAGTTCGGTATTCGCTAATGATAGCATTAGAACTAGATGTCAGCGTTTCCRCGATAGTTGGTTCTACGTAACCGGAGCGGACCMGAATTATCAACCCACAACAATAACAAGAACATGTCAGAAAAATCTATCATGCGTAGTGGTATGTTCCAACACAGTATAGCCAATGTTGCGAGGTTTAATGGGTGAACCCTTTAGAGGTACTTTTTCAAATTCGCAACAACACCACCCATCTTGAGAACCAGCATTCATTATTAGAYTGTTATCAGCCAAATATACCACGTCCATCAAGCAGTGMACAAAATATAGCASCTGTAGCTGAGAGWGCACACGAAGACCGTGGAGAGTCGATACGGCGTGRTTCGCAGCAACTCAGAYTGACGTATGAAATGACTTGGCGCATTTTACATCGAGATCTCAAATTGAAAGCATACAAAATACAGCTCGCACAGAACTGAAGCCGCTCGACTTTCCTAAGCAACATCGCTTCGCTTTATGGACTCTTGAAAAGTTCCAAGAAGATACGACGTTTTCGAGCGAGGCCCATTCCTGGCTCAATGGATAAGATAACAAGAAAAATTGCCGCGTTTTCGACGAAGAGCAACCTTAAGAGATCCAATAGCTGTCATTTCAACTAGAACAAACAACGGGTTGGAGTGGTTTGTCGATCCGTATTGCTTCCATTATGGTGCCGGCGAGAACGTAACCGTCAATGGAGACCATTATGGCGCCATCATAACCGAATTATTGATGCCTGAAATTGAAGCTCGAGATCTCGGCGACATTTGGTTTCAGCAAGACGGCGCCACTTCCCACACATCGCATCAATCAATGGATTTATTGAGAGAACACTTCGGTGAGCAGATAACCAAGATCGAGGGATATACACCGTTCGACTTTTCCCCGTAGGGATACGTAAAGTCTAAAGTCTATGCGGACAATCCTGTTTCGATTCGTATCATTCGCCAGTTACCAGTCGAAATGCTCGAACGAGTCATCGCAAATTGGACTCAATGGATGGACCATCTGAGATTCTTGTATGGAACATTTTTTTTTGATGTGAGAAGGTGTSTGTACGAAATTTGACATAGATTCCAAAGCAGGATCCAAAATTAGTTAAATGGTAGAAATTTATATTAAAGAGAACCTTGAGCTGTAAAGGTTTCCAATTTGCGACCGCCAACTTATTGATCTTTAAATTTTCGCATAAAGGAATAATGGCACTGAAAATATTAAGAAAGTATCCCAAGCATTGCAAGGGAGTTGACTTCTCAGCTAAGGAAACAACAACATGCTACGTCAAATACATATAAACCATGAAACTTTGCCATGTGCGAATTGTCGCTTCTGGCGTTTTCTTTGAGGTGCCCAATGCCTACAAAGCCATTTGCATATACATACATACGGACATATAGGCATTTATAAGTATGTGTGGATAAAGTTGAAGGCAGTGCGTGCATTGATTATCATTATCGCAAGCGCATTAAGAGATGTCGGGAAGGCCGCTGGCATGCAAATACTGGCGAATGAACTGACAATCGTAAAAAAAAAACAATATTTTATGGAAAAGAAATGTTTGTAAGTATGTGTGAGAAAATTTAAAAGCTGTTAACTAGGTATGTATGTATGTATGTGAGTACAATAAGCAGCAGGACTAACATGCGATGGCATTACGTTTCATTTCGGCGGCGTTTGTGACATGGAAAAACCATTAAGGTAGCTGGGAAAAATCAACCTGAAAGTATGCAAAGGAAAAGTCAGCAAATACACGCCAAATACAAACTTATATACACACATACAGACATACATAGCCGAATGCAAATGCCCATATGCAAAAACAGCTTAATGCATGTACATATCTATGCATGAAGGTCCATATATCTATATATCTATATATATGTGCATGTGTGCATATGCGTATGCCGTGGAATACAAATGGAAAAAACTGTCACGGCAGTGCTATAATTTCCTACGCCATATGAATGTACAAATATAACTGATTTTTATAACACATACATATGTACATACACAGTTAAGGTTAACTTCGGCTGCACCGAAGCTCTAATACCCTTCAYAGTTGCATTTCTCATTGCATAAAAGTGTTTAAGGTGTTCAAGATAAAAATTTTAATCGTTCAGTTTGTATGGCAGCTATATGCTATAGTGACCCGATCTGAACAAATGAAAAAGTTTTCCATACAAGCACTCGATTCCGATCGTTCCGTTTGTATGACAGCTATGTCTTATAGTGGTACGATAACGACGATTCCAACAAATGAGCAGCTTCTTGAAGGAAAAAATGTATCTACAAAATTTTAGAACGATATCTCAAAATCCGAGGGACTAGTTCGGGTATATACAGACGGGCTAGGCCAAGTAGACTCAGCTTGTCACACTGAAGATTGTATAGATACTTCATAGAATCGCCGTCATTTTCTTTTGCATGCTAAGAACGTCATAGCAAACTTCATACACCCTGTTTAGGGTATAAAAATATGCCGCACACATACAAGCACATATGTGTGCTTGCGCTTCACTGTGTTTGTTAACGACCACGTTTCCTGTATTCAGCTGGGACAGTCTAGCCATTATCATGCGCTGTTCGCTTTTTCCTTTTCGTCTTGTTCTTCTTGTTGTTCTTATTACTTTTTGTGCTGTCATTATTGGAATCAGGTTTTAAATATTGAAAAATCGCAAGCCAGCGAAAGCAGGAAGGAAATGAATATGGACGGGAAATTACTTATTAATTGAGTAGGAAAATGAAATACGAAATGTGAATCTTCGAAGTTGGAAAAAATAAAAAAAGGACAATAAAAACATCATCAACAAGAAAAGCAACCGAAGCAAACAGAATTATAGGACCTGTGACAAGGCAGCAAGGAATAATATACTAAAATAGTATGTGCGTGCAAACAGGTCTGCGGAGGCGTATGAGTAATAATAATATTATACGCGTACCAGACACTATATGTTTGCATATAGGGCTTACAGTTATGTTCATAAARATAGCAGTCYTTATTGTGAAAAGATATATTAGTTACGTTTTGACGACTAAAGCTTTTCGCTGACAATAATTTAAACTGAAAAGCCTCACTTTATTTTCTTCCGTTCATGAAATATTTAGCCAGTTTKGCCTTCACCATTTTATATGAGTATTTTAAACAGAAATCTGTTCTTATAGCTATATATATTTAATAGGACAAAGTTTAATTCTAAGTAAGTTTCTAATATCAGTTTGAGCTAACACTGAAATCTTTAGCCTCACCGTGTGAGTGACAATGAGACAGTGTCTAGTTAGGACGCCTATCATTGTGGCGATGTGAGCCTTGCTAAAAGCAGTTCAATGGAGTTTTTACGCAATMTTACAAGAGCAGGTTGTTGGCAAATGCTTGCTAAAGTTCGTGGGAAGCTTAGATGTTGGTGTTAATAAGGTCAWGCACTTCTTGACTAGTTTTGAGTCCACTATCCGCAAGCTCAAGCCCAGAATAGCAGCTCTTCTATCGGAGTTAATGCATAACTTCCTAAAAGAAGTTGCACATCAAGGAAGTACATCTGTTCATCTGTTGCTACCTTGATGACTTCCACTACAGCTTGAAAGACACTAAAGTGGTCTGAAATAAGCTGATCGTACACTTCAGATTCACCCTTCAACCTTTACCTTAAGCTTCAATCCATCTATGAGGTGTGATCCGCATTTCCGCTTCTGCGACTTTTACGTGGGCATCAACTAGATGGGCATCTGCAC